CCTTCTCGGATAAAATGGAAAGTATCCTTGGGGACCAGAACACTTATCAAATACTAAGCAACAGTGTCAGCATAAAACTTCCAGTAAAGCCAATCGACAGCAGGTCAATAGGAATCCACCGTCGTCTTATGGTAGAACAGACCTTCGAATCTCTTCACTCAATACTTTCACTCGAAATGGAAGTAAGCTATTTTTTATATATATTTTATTTATATTTGCCATGGCAATCGAATACATTACTTAATTTTCATTTATAAGGACGAATAAATTTCATAAAACCGATTTTATGGTAGTCTCGAGAGTCTACTTATAAACGAAAATAAGTAACGTAGGCTATTATCATAGCAAATAACTTTACATCATCGACAATCCCTCCAAAGAATGTGATACTGTAAAATGCCTGGACTTCCTTGAAATTCACATCAGCCCTGCGGCCCAAGGGCACTCGCAGAAATGTTGCATAGTGGTTAACGTGTAGAGATTACCCGTTGCACTATCATGGTTTGAGTCCCGCTAGGGGTTTTGATAAGACCTTGGCGAGGTCGAAACCTCAGTCCATCCAAGATGAGAACATCTTTTGGGAAAGCAAAGCAGTGTGAAATTCAGTGGAAATGTCGACTATACTCATATAATTGTGGAAGAATTCAAATACTAGTCCTTCATCCCCTTAAACAAAATAGGATGAACACAGCTCATGCAATAATACAGGTATTTAGCCTTCTTTGATGTCTTTCTTTAGGAACCCCTCAAAAATATGATTCCAGTCAAAAAATAAATTGGGACTTGTTCAACCTCCACAATTAAAGAGTCATGAAAATATGCAGTTTTTTACTTAGAGAACCTTAATTATCAGTGGTAACTCTTAATATTTCATAGAAAGATGAGAAAAAAATCCAGCCATGCCGATCCCACATGTGGAGTAAAAAGCATTAGGTTTCTATAAAAAGATATTTCATGGCACAAATAAAAAATCGTATTCAAAACACAATTGCAGGCACCTATTTACCCGAATAAACGATGAAGTAAGAAGCGAATAGGATTAGTTATAACTTAAATATTCCATCGATACTCGATACCGTAGAGAAAAGTGCATTAAAAGACCTTGCTACTTCGCAACACAACCAAGAGTGCCAGAGTCAGAGGGACTAAGTGACTTTCAAGATAAGCCCGCATTCCATCGCAGTGTACTCTGGATCTGAAAGCAATGCAAAATGCAATTTCATCATGAGGTTTTCTACTTATTTTATCATAGAAAATCCAATAGGCAGTCTTACATTACCATAAGCTACCTTAATTGACTCATATTCCCGTTCAAAGTCTACTCAAGTTTCCAAACAAACTCTCTACAAATGGTAGCATTTCTAAGATTATTTTAAAAAATTAGATGAAAATTAGGCAGACTCCAGGGGATATTAAATAAAGTCAATTAGTATTCTCACCTTGCATGAATCACGACGTAACAGACGGAAGAAAATACCAAGTCTATCCACTGCGATTGGATAGCACGCCCGCCAACCCGCGACGCGGACAACAATTCTTGGCGCACGGGGCTTTGCTTGCCAGAAATTGCTTTGATAGAAGCCCGCGTTAGGCTTTTTGGACGAATGGCCAGCAGCCTCTAGAGGAGTTAGATACCGGGACGATGCCGAGGCGATCTCCGCCCGACCAGCCTTCGATGAGCGAGGAGTGGCGAGGCAGGTGAAACCATCTCGAGTTAAAGTAAGAGGCAAATCAACCGGAGGCGGATGAGCTCCACCTGGCACCTTGTGCCAAGCAGACTGATGACAGGATCTAAGGAGAATGATAGGTAGTATTTTCGTTTAAAAGTTAAAACATCAAATATGTAGACATCAGTCTACATAGTTGTTATAAAATTAAGTGAAAGAACTAATCTTAAGAG